ATCTTCTGTTAAAGTGCGTCTCGGGAGGGACCCTCGGATTCCTGGTAGGTTGTGGATTAATTCTATTTGTTGCTGTTCTTATACACAGTCCGCCTAGGCATTTTCCTTTCAACAGCCTAAGGGGATTAGCCGCAGCCAATACCCCCGGGGTGGAGCTCTTGGCCGGGAGGTTACGAGTCATGAATTTTAACGTACTCTGTGTCGGGCTCGGACCACAGGTGAGGGCATCCCCTTGGCTGCTGGGGATTGTTGCGTCTTGGCTGGCCCTTCCTTTTGAGTGGAGGTTTGGCTACCAATGTTAATGCTTCAGATGGTTTTTCCTCCTGCTGAAGAGCGTTTTCGACGCATAGCCTCAAGGTAAACTTCTAGAATAACACAGGACCACCGAGGACGGTTACCACCCCGGGAGGGTGGCTGTTGAAAGAGCACTGAATAAGAGGAGAGATAGAATCCGCCCCCCCCGCCCCCGCACCACCGCCCCCGTACCTCCTTTCTCTGGCTTCTCGAGAAAGAGCAGGTCTGAAAAGTGTGAGGCAGGGATTCAGGGTGGCTGCAGGCTGAGCTGAGCATCACCTGTCACCACGGCCCCTAAGGAAGGGGAAAATATTTTTAAATTTCTGGATGAAGTAGCATTTATTCCCCCAAGCCAGTTCTCAGACGTGCTGGTGGCAGGACCACACACCAGAATGACAGAAACCCCCCAGAAAACGGGCTGCTGATTTTATTACTCCAGAACGACCATGTCTGAGTCATCAACTCTATATTCTCTTTCAGGAAAAACAAAACAGGGAGTCAAAAACTCGTATGTGATTAAAGAGACTAGTTCTTAGGCAAGAGCGGGGTTCAACTGTGTAGACATAATGAGATAACCGATTGCTCAAGGCATTCATGGAATGAAGCAGTGAGTGTCAGAGAATGGAGGGGGGGAACCACAGGCCGCTGGGTTTGGGGAAAAGGGGATCATTGGGGGGGGTTGTGAAAGGGTTGCTTGCTCTTGAGTGTGTCTGTCTCAGGGTGACAGCGGCCTCCGGCTGTTTGCCTCTGGGAAGTAACCATGAATGGGAGCAGACAAGGCAGTTGCCACAGCAGGAGGACGGGGTCTGCGTGCCAACACATAGGGGCAGGAGCTCGCAAGAGACTTCTCTGGCCTCGTCCCTTGGAGCTGGATTTTTGGTGGCTAAATTCACCGCCTATTTCCAGATCCCTCTAAACATCTGCCAGGGTAGTCCTTCCCGTAGACGCGCACGTGAAGGAATAAAACATACACGCAGAACGATGCGCCGTGTCTGACCGACCGGTCCGCGTCCCGTGGGCGCAGCACAGTGAGATGCAGCTTCGGGTGAACACGGACGTAATTGATACAAGAAGGAGGCAGCGGCCTTGGGCTGGATGGACCTCAGAGCTGCGTAGCGTGTCGGTAGCTAGGGGAAAATGGGGTGCTGGGGTGGGGGTGCTCGTTCTGTGCGTGACAGCAGCACCGGGTTAAGAGCGAATGGTTTCTCTGCGAGGGCCTCGGGCAGTCTCAGGTCAACAGACGGCGTTCATCGAGAGGTCCAAGCCGTCAGGACGGACCGCAGTGTGTTAGCTAGACATCAGGTGGCCTTGGGTGACGGGTCAGTGGATTAATTCTTGGGGTAAGCCTTCCTTTGCACGGCTCACACAGTTCTCAACAGGGATGGGAAACTGACTTTGTATCCGGTTAGCTGCCCAGGTGATCGTCAAGGCTGGGTCCTCCTGAATCGGCCTCAGGGTGTGTCCCGTCAGCACCGGTGACATCCGGGGCCGGATACGCTAGGCCTGGCGGTGCCTGGGGGGGCGTCTGTCCTGGGTACTATTCCACGTTCAGCAGCGGGTCGGCCCTCTTCTCATAGGAGCCAGTAACACCCTTCCCTGTCCAGCAGTGAAAAACGCCTCCGGACGTGGCCAGAGTCCCTTTGTTGGGGGGGAGGGGGGCACAATTACCGCTGGCTTCCCCCTGAGCAGGTGAGCACAGCCGGAGCCCTTACGTTTGTAGGAATGGAAGAATGAATACGCTGCTTTCCTAGTAACGGTGGCCCTAACCTTTAACTGCCCGGCTGCCCCCGCCCCCGCCCCGGCCCTGTCCCTCCCGCACCACTTTGTGAATAGAGGCGATTTGGGGAGAGTCCAGGCACTGCATTTTCGGGCTCGGCAGCCTCGGTTGTGCACGGAAAGCCAGACCCGTCCATCGCACCGCAGGCGAAGTAGCGTGGGGGCCGCTGCCTCGCACCTCCCTGGTAAACACCGTCCTGATAAACAACCAGCTCTCTGAAGGGACTCTGAAGTCCCCGTCCTGTGAGACTTTTTCAGACAAGCTTCCTTTCCACAGTAGGCTGACGGCTCTCTCCGTCCTGGGTGATCTGGGGGAGCAGGCCCCTTACCACGGTGGCCTCGGGGACGCTGTCTTGGGTGGAAGGCTTTCCCTGCGGGCGTCCCCAGCTCTTTCCCCAGCCCTTGACATGCCAGCCCAGGAATGCCGTCTGGAGCCAGACGGAGCCGGGGCCCGTCCCCTTCCTGGCACGGAAGGCCCAGGCAGGCGCTCCCGGCGGCGTTGGGGGCTGTGGGAAAGCCGGGTGAATGAAATGATTGAAGTGGCAGAGCGTTCAGAGGATTCCAGGCGACATTCCTTTGCCGGGAAAAGGAGGAGGTGAGGGCCCTCAGAGCCCGTGGGTTCCACCCCCTTCTTCATCGGGAGGCCTGGAACGCTCCACTCGCTCATCCCCGGCAAAGGGAGTTTATTCAGCATCCTTCCAGCGCCGGGCAGCACCACGGACCACTTTGCCAGACGTCGTCTTTGAAGGCCAGGTGCCTCGCTCCAGGGACGGCCCTTCTGTGTCTGCCCGTCTTTGGAAGACGTCCTGCCCTTCGAGGAGTGTTTACCCACCGCCTTCCTAAACCACGCCCTCCCGTCAGGAGGGATCCAGCCTGCAACCATTATGCGCTGACTGCTCCGTGCCCAGGGGCTGTGAAAAGGCCTTGGGAACTAGGGCCATGAATGAACGAATGGGATTCAGTGGGTTTTGGTTTATGTGTCCAATGTGCAATTCTTTTCTCTGTTAGAGCTAATGAGCTGCGTGGCCATCACTCCTTCCCTCGGAAGAAGGAGGCTGGGGATAAGGCCAAAGCCCGCTACAATCCATCTGGATGCCACTGACGGTCCTCAGTGTTTGTACAAGGCCGTTGGGTTGGGTGCCCCCCCACCTCTCCCGCCCCAAGACTGAATGGAAACACCTGGGTCTCCAAGTACTGCTTGTGGACCTCGCTTCTCTCACCCCCTTCACCCCTCCACCCCTAATGGGCTTAAACGACGTGGCAATGTCCGCACGTCCCTGATGACGACGCAGGGCTCCCAGCAGCCCTGCTTCCTCCCCGAGACGCTTGACTCTCACCGGACACCCGGTCCTCCAGCCCGGGCGCACGCCCTCCCCCAGGCACGTGCCCGCCCCCAAGTCCTGTTCTTTCCTTTCTTTTAACTTTTAAAACCGAGTCTATACTTAAAAAAAAAAATCAATACACTTGTCTAGAGCCACTGTGGGTTTACAGAGACATCGAGGGAACAGTACAGAGTCCCTCGGTACCCGCTCGGCCCCCGTGGCTGACACCGGTGTGCTGCTTGTGTTCCCGTGCTGACCCAGCAGTGACGCGTCGTGCTCAGCTGCAGCCACTGGCGACCTCAGGGGCCACCCCATGTCATGCATCTGTCGGCTGAAATAAACGCGCACTGCAAAAGTTGAGACTAATGTTTTATTTGGCGGGAGGACTCGAGCCGGGATGACAGCCCCCCAGATGGCTCTGAGGGACGGCTCCTAAGACGGAGGGGAGGAGCCAGGATATATAGGAGCTTTACAACCAAGACCAGGTGGTTGGAACAATAAAAAATTCCTTTTTATCTAAAGAAAACCAGGCATCTCAAGTTAAAGAATTTAGTGCTGTTCTGTGTATGGGACGGAGCAAACATCTGGGCTCCCTGAATTCATTCCTTTGACAAGCGCCTGGCCATCTAGGGCCAGTGTCCTGTCGTTTCCTGTTCTGAGTCCCCTCAGAGGGCAGCACTGTGAGTGGCTGCAGAGGCCAGGCTGCGGGCTGGTCTTCACTGGGGGGGGTGGCGGCAGCCGCTGGTGACTTGATGGCTTCAGTGTTCTTAGTTTACTGATGTGGTTTGCAGTACGTTTCGTTCACATGTTCTGTGAATTGTTTTTTATTTTTTGATTGACGTACAGTCGATTTAAAATGTTGTGTTATTAACTTCTCGTTTACAGCATAGTGACTCAGTTATATATATATATATATACATATATATATAATTCATACTCTTTTCCATTGTGGTTTATTACAGGATATTTGATATAGTTCCCTGTGCTACACAGTATGACACTGTCATTTATCTACTTTATATTTATTAACTTGTTGGGGTTTTGGGGGGTAATTAGGTTTTTTATGTATGTATGTATGTATGTATTTGCTTGTTTACTTATTTTAATGGAGGGACTGGGGATTGAACCCAGGACCTCACGCAAGCTAAGCACGCGCCTTACCACTGAGCTACGCCCTCCCCCTTATATATTGTATTTGCTAATCCCAAATTCTTCATTTATCCCTCCCCCACCCCTCACCTTTTAATGTTTTTTAATTTTAAATATGTTTGCATTATCTTCTAATTACTAGATGCTTTTTTAGCAGTCTTATACACACACACACACACACACATACACACACACACACACACATACCAAGTCTGTTTTAAAGTCAGATGCGTTCATGGGACTTCTACAGCCCCGTGACCCCACCTTCACATCTCTGGACACGCCCTGCCCGCGTCCTTCAGCCAGCGAGTCTACCCCATTGCACATAACTGCCCCAGGATGTGCCTCGCGTTTTGAGATCTCGCTCTCTGTTGTCAGTGGAGACATATTCCTCCTGTTGTCAGTGGAGATAGCTGAAAACCTCACATGCTCACCAGACAATTCCCCTCCTGCCAACAGGACCAGGTCCCCAGAGCGGGCAGAGCACCCCATTGTGATGTCTGGACACCACCTGGGTTTCTACGGGCAACGGCTGCACCCGTTGTGAGGTCAGAGGACCACAGGAAGCCTTCGGCTTTGGGGCACATGGGCTTGGGGCTGGAGATCAGTGCTCCACCCAGTGAAGGTGGAAGCCCCCCCAAACTTGAAGCTGCACCGACAGCTGAATGTTCCCAACGGCCTCTGAAAAGGACCACCACTGCCTTCCCCTGGACAGCACCTCCCCTCGTCCCGTGAGACGCGTAGCTGCCGGAAATCCCACGGAAGAATTGTGCGGACGTCCCAGGAAGGTAAGATGAGGCCTCACTTGTAGGGAATGTATGGGAGAGGCCCGGCTGTGATGCTCTGTGGCAGCGTCACACCACCTGCCGCGCAGTGGACAGCGTTCCACATTCAGGCTGCCCTGTGAGCACACGCCTCCTGTCCCCAAACCTGAAGGAGAGGTGGCTCTGCGGCCCTCCATCCAGAGCCTTCCCCCTCAGGGAGGTCAGAACAGAAAGAACCACGAGGACACGTGTGAGGACACACGTTTGAATTCTGGGAAGCAGTTTGCTTCTGCAGTCTTTGACGCCTGTGTGATTAGCGTATGAGATGAAGTTAGTTAGCTGCAGGATTCTGTTTTATTTTTTTTAAGAGCAGGTTGGCTGTAAAACCAATAAACACCTGCTCGATCCACAACTGCCTCCCATTGAGACCAGTTGACAGGTCAATGGCTCCACCACATCCTTTCTGAAGTGTCAAGTGACCAGTTGATTTTCCTGAATTCTTAGTTTAAAGCATCTGGAAACCCCCTCCCTCCCACCTCCCCCTCCCTCCCCTCCCCCTCTCCTTTCCCCTCCCCCTCCTT